AGAGAGAGAGAGAGAGAGAGAGAGAGAGAGAGAGAGAGAGAGAGAGAGAGAGAGAGAGAGAGCTGAGGGTTGAAGTGTGAGAGTTCATCCTTTTCTTGTTAATGCTGGTGGCCATATCTGCCGAGATAGACGTATGCAACGTTCCAAACTCTTTTGCATTGTCTTTTGAACATCAGAGCAGGGCCCCCAGTCCGCCATAGCCATCACCTGCCGGAGGTGGTTGGAGGTGAAGGTCATGGCTATGGTGGACCTCATGTTGTGCTGGCAGTAAAAGGGAGATTCGGACATTGGTTTTGGTTCAGCCATTCATTGTTATTATTATTATTTATTGAAGAATATGATTGGGGGAGATAAGGAGGAGCAGAGTGAGTGGCGAGAGAAGGGGGATTTGTCATTGGTCTTTTGATGGTCTACATCTTCTTCTTCTTCTTCTTTCTTTCTTCTTTCTTTCTTCTTTCTTCTTCTTCCTTTGTGTCTTTCTCTTTTCAAGGTCTTTCATTTCTTTTGCAATTGCACGGCATTGTCTTTCCTTGTGTATTTGCACTTTGGAAGTAGCCAGGATCGTAGCATACCATACATCTACAGCTATGGCACCCAGCGCCTGTTGACTACTGGGTAACTAGTCCCTCCCTCTCTCTCTCTCTCTCTCTCTCTCTCTCTCTCTCTGTGACTGCTTCACTCGTCATTTGGTGGCTTTTTGTTTGTGACGATTCAGCTTCCATCCCTTGGACTTGCAGACCCTGTTGACCCGGTCCTGGTACCCTGCGAGCTTGGGCCTCTTGGCCTTTTCATGCTCCCAGAATAATCGTTGGCCATCCTCGGATTATGGGCTGCAGACCGACTGACCTAGACTGGACTCAACTAGCCTACCGCGACCTACACTACCTGGAACCAGACTCTCTAGACTGACCTCTCATACGAGTATGCTACATGGGTTCTTCCATCTGAACAGAACTTCAATCCAGGAGGTGCACTTTTTTTTTTTGTTTCGTTGTTTTCTGTGCTCTCATCACCACCAGGATTCAAGGTCTGGCATAAGATGCTTTAAGCAAAAATAAAAAAGAAAGAAAAAAACTACCGAGGTCCCTAGGACCCCACTAACCTTACAGTGCCGAGGTGCAGAGGCTAAGGGTCTCGTCGTATACATCTAACATTAAACATCTTCCATAAACTTGTCGGCGTACTCCTCCCTTATCCAATTTGGTGGACCGCCAATGTGAAAACGGCGTACGAAAATATATCCTTACAATCCCACCATTTGCCAGCCATTTTTGTAAGCACTGTAAGGTACCTCCTGGGAGGGGTACCTAGAAGCATCCTGGATTTTGAGGACCGAAAAAGGTGGCCTCTCATCTGCGACTGCACACCTGCTAGAGGCCGATTGGTCAAAACTCAGGGGGGTTCGGGGTTTTTTGGGGGGTGTAGGAACGACTTCAGTGTTTTCCCCGCTCCAACCCTCAATTCCATGGCCACAGGTAAGTACTGGCCCTTTGGGCCTTCCACACGGACAAGTATCCTCGCGGGTCACACCCACACTCGAACCGACAAGCACTCAGACAGGCATGCAGACCAGCAAGCATGCACCCACTCAGACTTAGAAAACTCAGCAACAAGCGGGAGAAGGCATACATTCCATGAGCAAAACTCAGAAATCAGCTCTGTCTCAGTCTGTGTTTGGCAGGTCATTACAGTATAGTGGAGGTTGTGCAGCTGCTTGAAGGACACCCTATCTGCGGCTTCTGGCACTTCTTCAAGAATCTCTTCAGTGCTATGAACTTCCAGAGGCCCACGACACTTGAAGCAGCGGAAAAACACTCAAGTAACAGGTAGGCCGGTACCACACCAGGTAGAGGTAGACGTGCCGGGTACTCGAGACCGAGCAGAAGAAGACAAAGTTGGCATTTTTAGAGGCCCAGTAGTTGTAGGGTAGGTCTAGGCGGGTACCAGTCCAACCAGTCTGAGTCTAGGGCCTGTACGGGGAATATCAGGGTCTGCAATGATGTTTCCCCCCAAAGGGAGGAGGTACCGGTTGCTTGGAGGCCACGCGGCCTAGGAAGTCACTCGCCGAGCGGCAAGCAGGCCGTTATATCTCCAGGAGGAGCGAAGGGCTCCTACTCATTGTTGGTGTGCAAGTTTGGCAACACACTGGTTGGAGCGCTAGCACAGAGCTGCGCTGCTGGGGAAGGAGCAAGGACAGGAGGAGGAAGAGGACCAGGACTAGGAAGGGTGAGCGCCAGAGGTACTTACCTGGCTATGGTGGTTGCCATCTTCATCACCTTGGTGGGCGCTGCAGCAGGAAGGCCCCAGTTGTGGTAGAGCTACACCAAGAAGCTTTGAGGCTGAGTCAGGCATGGCGGCCTGAGCTAGAGCAGCCATAGCTGCTTTGTGTTGCCCTTTGCACAGCAAGGTGATGCCCTGGTAGTCCGCCATAGCCTCGACCTTGGAGGAAGAGGGAGAAGTGTGGCCATGGCTATGGTGGACCTCATGTGATACCTGCAGAAGAGGGATTCAGACATTCATTCTGGTTCATCCATTCAACATTATTATTGTTCTTCCTTGTTTGAATAAGAGGGGAGGAGATAAGGGGGAGGAGAGTGGTTGGCGAAGAAGAAGAGCATTATCATTGGTCTATGTTGGTGTACATCCGTGTAGCATCGTGTTCGGGTTTGGTGACCGAACCCGGACGTTCGGGACCGAACGCGAAGGAGTGCCAAAACTCTCCACACACGAACATAAAAATAAAAAAAAATAATAATAAAAAATCTCCAAAAAATCTGAAAAAAATATATGTTATGTAAAATAATAATACAAAACTTTTGCCTTGGAGGTATGCTCAAATTCGTAACCAAACTCGAGTTAAAAATAAAAAACCAAAAAAAAAAAGTTTTTTTTTTTTTTTAATATGTTCAGCCGAACACGTTCGGGTGGCGTTCGGCCGAACACCCGAACATGCTCGGACGTTCGGAAAAGCTCCGAACATGTTTGGTGTGCTACACAGGTGTACATCATCTTCTTCTTCTTTCTTTCTTCTTCTTCTTCTTCTTCTTCTTCTTTCCCTCTCTCTCCTCTCAAGTTCATTCATTTCTTTTTGCAATTGGACGGCATTGTCCTTTCTCATGAAGTGTACGTCGAAATTGGCGAGGATCATAACATTGGTATCAGAGCGGATTCTACTTGCTGTGAGAGTTGACTTATCCACCCTAACCCTAACCTAAGTGGTTACGACTGACCACTTAGGGTTAGGGTTGGTCCGAAGTGGGAAGTGGGGCAACGTGGATTGGGAAAACTGCCCCCACCTGGTTAGGTCGTGTTGGGTCAACACTAGACCTGACCAGGTTGATTGAGAGTGAGCTTGTGGTGGCGAGACACATC